GTTTGTTCACGTTTCCTACTTGTGCCAGAACCAGTAAAAATGTGAATTGAGGAGGAAAAATGATCAACATTCGTCCCTGGGTATAATCTCACAATTTATCCCACTGCCTCGTTATTGCTCTATTTAACTAGATGGCTGAGTTTCTGGAGCCAGCGTAAACTCCAAATTGTTAAAAATTGATAAAGCCATAAACTCCCTATAGAAGAGCGAACGAAGAGGGCCACAGTGTCCCTGACAAGATTTCTGTGATGGAGATGTTCAGTCCAACCTGAGAAACATCCCCCAGCCAATCTCCTGAGGGATTCTTCTTAAGGTGCTTGGGCTAGTTACCTCTCAACACAGAGCACTCAAACTTAGCTGTTGACTCAATTGTTGCTTATTTAGGACTAGTTAATCTCGTAGTTTCACTTGTGGCAGCTTTCGCTTTGTTTGCCAAGAACTAATTGCGTTGTTTCCTTCCTTTGTTGTTAACTCCAACAATCAGTTTTTGTATTTTAAAAAGACACTTTGGGACGCTGGAGTTTTATGCCCAGACTGATTAGTCACTTGACTTCTTCGTAAGTAGGTCACTGGAGAAATCAACCTTAAATCTTACTATTCTTTTTTGGCATACCTCCAAAACATGAAATCCATGTTTGTAAAAATGGGACAGTTATCTTTGGTTAATTTACACACACACACACACGCACACACGCACATATATATATGATGTAGCTTAAATCGTAATCACTTTTCTGCATTCAGAGCTCTAATGCTACCTAAATACTGTATTCTCAGCATCCTGAATTTCATCATGGAACAACATATACATATTATTTTTAGAACTTTAAATTTAAGCACTCTTGGATTCTAACTGGATTTTTCTGATGGATATATACCATTAAATCCTTATATCTCCAGGGAGAGTATATTGAGGTAGAAGGACAAGTGGTTTACATAGAGACGAGCCTGGCAGAGCTGAATTTTATGGATGCTCTGCCACTCCCCAGCTGTGGGGTTCAAGATGACATCATCAGTGACCCTGAGTCTCACTTTACTTAGTTGTCAAATGATAGTAATGTCATCAACTGGACGGTATAATTCTGAGGATTAAATGGTACAACTTTTATACAGTGGCCAACTGAGTGCCTGGCTTGGACTAACTAGATCCTTAGTGAATTAAAATAGTTGCTATTATGGTTATAGAGTTGTCCTAGGGCTTTTAAGGAGAAATTTCATTTAGATTTTGCTGCTACAACCTAATTTGGTGATATCTATAAGAAAGACCATTATACACACTCTTGTGTCACTTAAGAGAGTCCCAGTCTAAGAAATGTATCATGAGGTAGTTTCAGTGTGTGACCTTCACAGCATGTACTTACACCTAGATGGTGGAGCCTACTACGTACCCAGCCTGTATGGGACGGCCTGTTGTCTAGGCTACAAACCTGTACAGCATGAGTCTCTACTGAATACTCCAGTAAACTGTGACACAGTGGTAAGGATTTGTGTATCTAAACATATTGAAACATGGAGAAGGTATAATAAAAATACAATAGTATAATGCTTTCCATCACTGACCCAAATGTTATCACTCACTGTGTTCACAGTTAATGGTAGAATGGGGACCCAAGCCCATGTTTGACACCAGAGGTACATTAGTCACATTCAGTCTTGCCATCTCTCTGAGGTATCCCTAAAAGTTGTTTTTACTTCTTCCATTATTCAAGCATCATTCCCTTACAGTTAAATACATGTTCAGCAGATATTACAAATAGGAACCCTGGAGTCTGTGTCCACATGGTCAGTAAAGAAAAAAGCATCTGTGCTTCAGTGTTAGAACACTGATACCTCCAGCTACTGAGTCATGAAGCTGTTTAAACTTCCTATTGGCTTGGTGCCTGTGGCTCAAGTGGCTAAGGTGCCAGCCACATACACCCAAG